TTGAATCTCCTAAAATAAATAGATAAAAGTTGCTCAAGTGATTACACAGCTAAAATGAAAACTTTCAGCTTGTCCAGTCAGTCGAAATGCCCGGGGTGGACGTGGCTCTTTATTTGATATTTCAATTTTGGATTGCATGAAAAATTGTTGACTGGAAAAGTGCACGCGAAATACTCGAACTGTCGGCCGAGTAAACAAAAAATTGTAAATATTGCCAAAAAAAAAAAAAGAAAAATTAATTCATAAATATTCAAATGAAAAACCTCATGCCAGGCGAACAAATCTGCGTCAGGACGAGCCAAGTCAAATCAAATTATGGATAATTTATACATACAATTTCCACTGGACTGATGCTGCTCCTGCTGCTGCTCCTGCTGCTGCACAGGATCGCCAAGGCAAGGAACTGTGGCCGCGACGGAAACTGGCCGACTTGGCTTCACTTCTGCCGCTTGATTGAAACTCATTTATCATCATAAATTAGTGCGGAGCGGGGGCATGCGGAATGCGGCATGAAATCAAGGAAGAGATTCATCATGCGCCTGAACGTGGGCGTGGCCGTGGCCGTCAGCTGGGCAGCGGCATGTAATCCAGCTCAGATTGAAAATTAATGAGGTCATCACGCTGCACACACACAGACACACACACACACACACACACACACGCACACTTGAAATTCGTTGCTGTAAAATCAGCGACGACAAAAATTATTCACCATTTCTTATATCTTGTCTATTGTGGATTTTTTTCCACTACCATATTCAGTTTAGCAGAACGCGAACCGCCCTCTGCTGCGATACAAGTCAACGCTAATGAAAGAACCTCGTCCATGGGGTGTACTCGACTTGTATGAAATGTATCAGAAAAGCATGGAAAACTTGATGAAAATATTTTTTTCATATTTCAAGATGGGAATTAACAAAGATAATCCGCATGGAAATCTGTTGAGCCCCATGTGTTTGGACAGGGTATAGCACATTCGTTGTTTAAGTTCGTTACATTCTTTTTTTCTCTCAGCTCGGGCTTTTGTTTGGAGGTGTGTTTATTGTGCCACACTTGTCTCTGGCAGCGACTGGACCAACCCTCCGGTCTTGCCACTAAAATGAACTGCGTTGGAAATAAAAATTAATTGCGGACTGGCGGACTGGTCGGAGGCATGTGGCCGGCTGGCAACCACTTACATAAATCAAAATTCAGCGCATTTGGGGCATTTAGGCATTTCGAATTTTTTCACAGCCAGCAAATGCAAATAAGATGATAAGGAATGTCCTTCATTTACGATCCCCATTGTCCACGTGGCCCCTATAATTATTTGAGCGATTCATGAGGCATACAATAAATAAAGCGCGCTTCTAATCTTCAGTCCAACTGTAGTTGTCAAATATTTAATTTTCCTTACTTGTGAAACTTTGTGCGGAACATCAAAGATAACATTCCCAACGCTCTATGCATGCTGTCATAAGGTATGTGTTGCCATAGGATGGGACGTGCTTAAATTAAATTGTTGTTTGAAGAACTTTGGGATGTATTATTAGTTGACAGAATGCCACAGAAGTGAGTTGTATTTACGTATTATATGCGCAGGAATATTAAATTCTTAATCTGTTAAGGGACACTCACAGCCAGTTCCATCGGCAAATGCGTGGCCAAAATCTCTACGCTGATATTGCAATTTATTTAAATAATCTAGCAATAATTCAAATAGCCAAAAGCCCATGAAAAAGCATTAAAAACTGGCCAAAATGTTAACCCTTTTCAACACGAAAATAAAATGGTGATGCAGTCCTTTGCAATCAATTGAAAATGTATTCGCATGTATATATATACACACCTATATAGGCGAATATCTGATAATTTATTGCCTTTACATTTTGGCCAGGACGAACCAGTTGGGTTTGGCTGGCAAGGTAATTATTATCGCTGGCCAGCGTGGCGCATACGTAATGAATGGCCGGTTTAAACGGTTTAAGGTTATGTGACATTCTTTTTATGCAGCATCGCAGCAGTTTTTGCCATTTCCCATTTTCCATTTCCATTCACCATTTATATGACTTTTTCCACGAATTTATGGCTTTGACCTTTAAGTGCCACAAGGAAAAACATTTTCATTACATCTCTCATACAAAATGACGAATTATTTATTATATTTCTTGTGCGCTTTGATATAATTCGTTACTCGAAAATCTTAAAGAAAATTCAATTAACACTTTGAATTGAATTTCATTTGCGTTGTCTTGTAGATGACTGCTCTTCCCTGATATTATTACATTAAGTAGGCTTAAAATAGAATTTACTAAAAATCGGGGAAGAAATCCAAAAGTCTATACATGTAAATTGCCTTGCTTAGCAAGCATGTCCTTTCCTCGTGTTTTCTTCGACATAACCGCAGATGGGGATAAACTGGGACGTGTTACAATGGAGTTGCGCTCGGATGTGGTTCCAAAGACCGCCGAAAACTTTCGCGCTCTTTGCACCGGGGAGAAGGGCTACGGCTACAAGGGCTGTCTGTTTCATCGAGTTATACCGAATTTTATGTGCCAAAGCGGCGACTTTACCAATCAGAATGGCACGGGCGGACGTTCGATCTATGGCCACAAGTTTCCCGATGAGAACTTTGAGCTGAAGCACTCGGGACCGGGCACCCTGTCGATGGCCAATGCTGGACCCAATACGAATGGCTCGCAGTTCTTTATATGCGTAATCAAGACTTCGTGGCTGGACAATAAACACGTCGTCTTTGGGAAAGTCGTCGATGGCATGGATATAATTCGAAAGATCGAATCGATGGGTTCTAACTCGGGCAAGACAACCAAGAAGATTGTAATTGAGGACTGTGGCGACTTGTAAAGGGGGGGCATTTTAATCGAAACGTAATTAAAAACATAATTTTACTTTTCAATTATTGGTTACCATTTATTTACTACCTCAAACGTTTGACTCTTAATTGAACACTTTTCCTGCTGATGTTACTCAAGCGGTATCCAGATTTACGTATGCTTGAGCTGGGCCTAGGCTCTGGCGTCGGCTCCTTGTGTAAATCCGGCTCACTGTCGCTAAAGGAGTCCTTCTTCGCTGGCGCTGGCCCATAGTTGGATCTGTCAAATCTTTGCAGCAATTTGGTGGCCAACTTGCCATCACTGGGCTGGATTATGCGGTTCATAAACTTTCTGCAGATAACGTTTTCGGCCGCATCGTCCTCAGACACATTCTCGGACCGATGCTCAATGACATTCGTCAACGTTACGGGATAAGTATTAAGTGTGGCTATGTGATTGTAGCCCGAATTGGTTGCCTTATGCCCGGCCACACGATTGCCCAGCGCGACGGCATCTGCCAGAGACATCTCCCGCACGTAGAGCGCATAAATGATGGCGGCCGTAAAGCACTCCCCAACGCCATAAGTGTCCTTTGCCTTTTGCTTTGTGCTTGCGGCCAGTTCGTAGTATTTGCCCTTGTTATCCAAGCAGCCGGCACCCAGTGGGCCCCAGGAGCAAATAATGCACGGCCTGCGCACATTGATACTGTATGGCAGAGGCAGAACCTTATCCAGTTGCAAACAGGTCTCCTGCACCGACTGCCAGCCCAGATCAAGCGCCAGCTCCCTGGAGAATATCAAATAGTCGCACATATCAAACAGATCGATGTTCTCCTTGTAGCAGCTGTCCACCTTCAGCGATATCTGTATGCGATCTGTGCGTCCATTATTATAATCAAGTATAGCGCGGATCATCGGTATGATGTCCAGCTTATTGCGCGCCTCAAAGTGCACCCAACCATAGAGACTTAGATCGAGCTTCCTGAAGTCCTCTATTGTGACATATGGAAAATTTCGGCTGCATTGCAAAATGGTGCGACAGCCAGTCTTGCGGACATTTATAACTGTGGTGAACGCCGGATTCTCATCCGTCCTCGGGCAGTGGCTCAAGTCAATGCCATTTCGCTCCATTTCTATCAGTATATCTCGCAGCATACTCGAGCGGCTCAGCACGCCAAAGAATTCCACCTGGGCGCCCAGCAGGCGCAGCACAAAGCTCACATTGCTGGCGTGTCCACCGCGCTGCCAAAGGGTCTCCACAGATCTGAGCTTCTCACCCTCCCAGGGCCCAGTTTCGCATTGTTCGACGATGTCTACCGACATGCCGCCAACGCACAGCATCGGCTTGGTCATGCTCAGGGCGCAGTATGGACTCATGGTTGCTAAAAAATCAATTCAGTTTTGGAAACTATTTGACATAATTTTGATGGGCGATCGATCGAAACTGTGATTAAAACCAAATAAACGGGAGATAAACCAGAGACTTTGGCTAAAGTCTTTATGAAATCCACGTATGCTCTGATATATGCATTACTAGTAAATAGCACGAAGAAACGGATTGATATAATATCCTAATATATATATATATATACATATTCAAGAAGCTATATGTCTAGAAGCTACAGGTTCAATTTGGTTACTCAAGCTCTTAAGACTTGAGAGATTTGTTAAAAAAAAAAACAGGATTTCTATATTGAATTTCATCGATTGCTTGGCATCGCGGCACGTTATCGATTATTGGAAACAAAGTCTTACTTTGAGGGAAAATTTTCTCTAGATCTTAAAGGTTCTGAGTTCGACAGACAGACGGACATGGCTAGATCGGATTTAGGATTCAGGGTCTAATCACACAACAAATCAATAGAATCTATGAAGGTGTCTTTCAACTATATGATAACTCTTCTCTAGGTCACAGAGCTTCAAGCTCCTCCTGTCCTCAAAACATTTAATTCATTGTATTGTTAGATCTTAAGTTCTCCCGCGTTTGCGAATAGCTCTTTAGTTTTATTACTCTATTTTTCTGATTTATTTGCAATTGATTTCGGGTGCAACTTTATTTGCTTAAGGAGTTTACAGAGTGTAAGCCACGTGCTCTGCAACTCTCTAGCTGCTAGTTTCTGAAATTTGAATCGGAATAAATTATAATATTCAAGCTTAAAGTAGGCCTTGAAACTCTTGTCTATTCAATGATATGTAGCTGTGTGCCCGATTCAGTATTCCGATTAAGGCTGTAAAACAGAACGGACCTAAAAGTATTTACTTATTATTTGTTAAAGCTACGAAATCGGTAAATCAGTTTACAAACATTTATCTGCTCTGAAACCAAATATATTTATTATAATTTTTTTTTTTGTTAAAGAACTGGCGTTTCTTCGCAAATTTTGTAATCAAGCAAAAATGTCGCTGCCACGTGTTTATTTCGACATCAACGCCGGCGGCGAGAAACTGGGTCGTATCGTAATGGAGTTGCGCTCGGATGTGGTTCCAAAGACCGCCGAAAACTTTCGCGCTCTTTGCACCGGGGAGAAGGGCTACGGCTACAAGGGGTCTCCATTCCATCGCGTTATACCAAATTTCATGTGTCAAGGTGGCGATTTCACCAATCAGAATGGCACGGGCGGACGTTCCATCTATGGCCACAAGTTTCCCGATGAGAACTTTGAGCTGAAGCACTTGGGACCGGGCACCCTGTCGATGGCCAATGCTGGACCCAATACGAATGGCTCGCAGTTCTTTATATGCACCGAGAAGACCTCCTGGCTGGACAATAAGCATGTCGTCTTTGGTCGAGTTGTGGACGGCATGGATATTATACGCAAGGTCGAATCGATGGGCTCCAATTCTGGCTCAACCACAAAGAAGATTCTCATTCAGGACTGTGGCGCTTTGTAAAGAGGAACGCCTCTTTATTTGGCTGTCAACGATATTTCGAATTGACATTTTACTCAAATTTTCAATGTTATTCGAGACAGTTTAAAATACACATACATATGTTTGGGCGTTGCAAGCAAAGTTCGTATTTTCGTGTAGGCCAATATTTTTCGCGTTTGTTATCTAGGGACAAAGCTGCTAAGCAATGGGATCTACTGGTTCTTGTCATGTTTATTTCCGTTCAATTGGGTAGAGCAAAGGCCGCCTTTGACTGTTTGGGATTTCGCACAACAAATATTTCACTTCCTCACTTGAAACATATTTGTGACCATCTCTTGAAAACAAATCTTTCAATCGAACCATTAGAGAAAATACAAGGACAATCGGCATCTGGACCCAAGGCATCTCCTTATCCATGTCTTCCAAAAAAGCCAAGCTCTTCCGTTTCGTAGCAATACCATGTTCTCCTTTCAAGAGCCTTATAGCAAGCTTTTATTATACCCTGAACCCATTAAAAATGGGTACAAGGGCGCAAAATCCAAATGTATGTAACAGGCAGAAGGAAGCATCTCCGACCCCATAAAGTATATATATTCTTCATCAGCATCAATAGACGAGTCGATCTAGCCATGTCCGTCTGTCCGTCTGTCTGTCCGTCTGTCTGTCCGTCCGTCCGTCTGTCCGTCTGTCTGTCCGTCCGTCCGCCCGTCCGTCCGTCCGTCTGTCTGTCCGTCCGTCCGTCCGTATGTATGAACGCAAGGATCTCAGAACCTATAAGAGCTAGAGACTTGAAATTTTAGATGTAGATGCTCCTAGCTCCCGCGCAGATCGAGTTTGTTTCCGATAATCGATAACTTACTCCGTTTCCAAGCAATCGATAAAAATCGATATCGATATCATGTTTTTTGGGCAATTTTGGTAAATAATAAGAGCTAGAGCCACCAAACTTGACATATAGCTTCTAAAATAGAATATATACATATATGCATTTGATGTTGGAAGAAGAGGGTTCAGGGTATCGCCTAGTCGGGAGCTCCCGACTAGAACCTCTTACTTGTTTTTCTTTTAAATTTAAAACCTACACAAGTTTCCTGAGCCTACAATATTACTTTTTTTTTTTTTTTTTGCTTACATGTGTTTACAACATTGTCATTTTACTTATTTTTATCTGAACAAAATTATGAGTCTGAATATATAATAGAATAAACGGTATACGAAATAGTTTTAGCCATTTTGAGATGGACGAGCCGAATCGAAAATTAAGCTGGGCAGTCGGCAAGAAGACGGTTTTATGTGTGGGATACTCGGTGATCGACTGCATATCGATCGTTAGGCGATTTCCAAGGATCGATGAGATCGAGCGCAGCGTCAAGGGCTACTGGCAACGGGGCGGAAACGCGGCTAATACTTGCACCGTTTTGCGGAATCTGGGAGTGGACGTGGAATTCTTTGGTGTGTTGAGCTCAGCGCCCATGTTCAGCATTATGCTGCATGATATGAAAGTGCGTGGCATCAAAATAGATAATTGTCCACGCTCCAATCAGGATCCGCCATTCTCATCGGTTATAGTCAACAAGTCGTCAGGGACATGCACCATTGTCAACTGCAATAACTCATTTCCATACCCAACTCTGGACGATTTTAAGATGCTCGATCTAAGCAAGTACGGTTGGATACATTTTCGAGGCAATAGACCCGAAATCACCACTGAAATGATGCAGGCTGTGGAGGCCTATAATGCAACGCAAACGGAAAAAATAGTCATATCTGTGGATATGGACGGATCGTTTAAAGAGCACTGGCCGCTGGTTGACTACTGTGAATACGCCTTCTTTTATAGACAATTGGCCGACCAACAGCAATGGAAGTCGCCAAGGGAGGCCTGCATCAGCATCGACGAGCATCTGGCCATGCGATTCGGCATTAATCTCAAGCGACCTTTAGTAGTTGTTCTATGGAATCTACAAAATGTCGGCATTATGGACCACAATAGCGATTACCACCGTGCGACTGCCTACAGGCCCAAGAAATTTGTCGACAGCCTTGGCGCAACGGAAGTGTTCGTTGGTGCCTTCATCTATGCCGTTTATGTGCGCGAGCGTTCCCATCAAATCGCCGCCAACTTTGCCAATCTGATGGCCAGTTACAAATGTATTAAATGCGGCTTCGATCACATTTCCGATATCTTGATGGCACCTGTACTGTAAATGTTGCAATTGCATTTTCCTATTCGGGAATGAAAAACTCCTTTGTGGTTAAGAATCGATTTTGTGTATATATTAGTCCGATTTTGATAAGGTCTCACTCATGTGTGTGGGATATGGTAGAGGTCATAAGTTTAGTCAAGATATGTTGAGTGACAAAAAGGTTTTTCGAAGCAGATAAGGAATATATATATATATATATCTAGTCAACTTAAAGCCACATCGAAAGTAGCTTAAGCTTGACTTTTTATTCGGTGCACTCGAATGCTTTTTAAGCTCAGCTCACAGTTGAGTTTCAGCAGCTCGTGAATTGCAGAGAACTTGTGCACGGCATAATTATGGCATGATTAATTCCACAGTCAGCCAGAAGTTGGTCAGGCGCAAAATAAATGCGCAAAGTTACAAAAGTTGTAGAAAAATGTACGTATTTATGTATATTTTGCAGATTAAGCAATAGGCGGTGGGTTGGCTGAGGGCAGGGGAGGGCAGTTAGTGTAAATGTTATGCATGGCATTAAGCGACAGACACAAAACGAGAATGTTTGCCGGTCATTTATCATGGCGGACAACAACAAGGCGGAGCGACAAGGAAGCAGCAACAATTTCGTCAGGAATTTAAGTGACAATTTTCATACAATTTCCACAAGCCGAAAGGACACACGGCTCAACGCGGCGTATGAGCGATGATGACGATAATTTCGGCTGGCTAAGAGAAATCGATAAATGTCCAAGCATTTGACATGCGACAAAGACAACCAACTGGAAGTGCTTCCGTACATGGAACTCCCTTCCCTTCTTTTCATGGGTTTTTTCTTTTTCCCTTTCAAGATACCCTGTGTCTTTGAGAATGTTCAGTGGTATATGTAGCTGCAGCCAACATGTATACTCTGCGTGCACTCTGTACTAAATATAGTCATAAGCTATAGTCAGGGCTTCAACATGTTTAATGCATAGCTTTAAGTATGCTGACCAAGGCCATAAACTAATTTTTATTTTTTTCTTAGCAATTTCAATTATTTTTCTACTTTGACCAGCTTATTGGGTTGTTATATCATATATATATATAACAATATTTGCCGAGTCCCACAAGCTTTGATGCTTGAAACATAAAATTCTAAATAATATTTGACCATGAACTGAACCTTCAAAAACTACCAAAATAAAACTCAAACGGTTAAATATTTTTTCCTTAAAAATGGTTTGGCACAAAACTTTCCAAGCAATTGCATTACAATCGTATTCGACAGATGCCAGCTTCGTGTAGGGATCAAATAAAGTGCACATAACTTATATTAACAACTCTTGAGTAAAACGTTGAGTAAAACGTTTAATAAAATTGTCAAATAAATTATTAAATAATATATGACAAATACATGTTCGCACCCTAACCAAGCTCATTTATGTGGAAAATCAGGTGCACGCATCGAACCTTAAATTAAGGAAGAGGTAGCATAGGATTGACTGCTAGGTATCTGTCAGTCGTGCTCGTCGCACTCTTTGCAGTTTTGTGCTGACTATTGCAACGTCGAACAATGCAAAACCCAAAATTATGCGTCGCAAATGCGGCAAAGCTAACGAGGGGAGAGGGAGGCGCCACTCCAGGCCAAGATGCAGACACAGTCAGAAACGCTTCAAAGCGGCTTCCGGCCGTTGCAGGAACTCACAGCGACAATGGCACACACACACACGCACACACACACACACAGCAGGCCGCCATTTATGTAAATTAAAAATTATTTCGACTGTAAAAATTCAGTGGGAATTGTTTTTGGCAAGCGTCGCTGTTGTCTCTGCGGCCCATTTGCAACAAAAACAGCCACACACACACAAAGAAACACTCACACACACACACTTACTACAAGAAAAGCAACTAGGACCTTGGCAATTGAGAAAAAACATTTGCTTTTTAACTACATTGGCTGTTAAGCAGATCTAAAAAATAGTTATTGTTATTATTGGCGGTTGTTTTAAGCCACAGCGCACCACATGCAATGCGCACAAATGCCAATTGGCGACTAGCAAATGGCAAACTTGGCCCAAACACGATTCGAATTTGAATTTCGGATACGAAATTGCGGAAAGGATAAGCACGAACTTATGATTATGTTCTAAGGCATAAAGTGGGCTATATTCGGCCATAAATGCCAACAAAGTGATAGTATAAGCCATACAATTAAACTATTGCCGTCTCTCTCTTTTTTTTTGTCGAAAATGTTAGTGCGAGCGCGATGAAGATATTCTATGAACAAAGCCTTAAAGTTTTTAGTTAGCCCAAGCAAGTTTCTATTTTAAAGGGCTGAAGCAAGTTCTCGTTGAGAAACAAATAAACAATTTGTGACTTATTTGTGAAAAATTGTAATAAAACAAAAATCATTTATTTATTTTAATAAGTTATGTGTTTACCTTTAAAAATGTACTTTTTACATTCATTCTAATTAAGAGAAAATCTTTATTAAAAATAAGAAGAATAAGTTTGAATTATTTATCGATTTGTGTCAATTTTCTAAAATGAAGTTATGATTTTAATCGTAGATATTCTTTCAGGAGCTTTTTTCTATAATAATAATACACACCTTTATTTAGATAGTGTTAAATATATTTTAAGACTACAATTTATAACATTAAGCAAGACAATAAAAAGCAATTATATATGCAGATAAATGTATAGAATTAGTTCGATTTTATTTGCATATTTGGAAATTAATTAGCTAAGACTGTAAGCCCTTTTCTTTTTTGGCTCTATCAGGACAGGTGGGGTGTATAGAGGCCAGACTTAATCTAATTAACAAAGTTTTGGTAATTTTGTGAAGAATGATTTAGTTTTGACACTGCATATTGGAAGCCCAACACTAATTTTTGTCGTTTCAGTTCTCGGGTTGAACCAATTTCCCGCCTTAAGTTTCGGTTCATGAGCCTGCTTTTCCGTATCTGCACAGCCAGGTTTTGATTCACGCCTTGCTTCGCCAAATTTGTATACCCTGAACCCATTAAAAATGGGTATAAGGGTATATTGCATTTGTGCAAAATCCATATGTATGTAACAGGCAGAAGGAAGCATCTCCGACCCCATAAAGTATATATATTCTTGATCAGCATCAATAGCCGAGTCGATCTAGCCATGTCCGTCTGTCTGTCCGTCCGTATGTATGAACGCAAGGATCTCAAAACCTATAAGAGCTAGAGAAATTTTAAATGCAGATGCTCCTAGTTCCCGCACAGATCGAGTTAATTTCCGATAATCGATAACTTACTCCGTTTCCAAGCAATCGATAAAAATCGATGTCGATATCCTGTTTTTTGGCCAATTTTGGTAAATAATAAGAGCTAGAGTCACCAAACTTGACATATAGCTTCTAAAATAAAATATATATATGCGTTTGATTTTGGAAGAAGAGGGTTCAGGGTATCCCCTAGTCGGGAGCTCCCGACTAGAACCTCTTACTTGTTTATATTTCCCCAGGGAAAAACTAGATTTCATTTATTTAAATTTGAACCAACAATATTTACAAATTGTTATTTGTGAAAATGTATGTTAATTTTCATATTGAGAAATTCAAAACTTTTGCAATATTTGATGAAAAAGAAACTATAAAAAAGCTTTGAGCAGCTTATTTCAATACAACTTATCCGATTAAGTTGATGTTAAATAAAATTAAAAAATAAAAAAAAGCAAGCCGCATTGTTGGCCAACTCTTCCATATGGCTCCGCTTCAGCTGATGTCCTGGGCAAGTGTTGCTAGTTAAGTTAATTTGTGGCCGTCCTTTACTACGACTAGACAATTTCTGTATTCAATTTCATGCAACGCCACTTTGCATTTAACCTAAAAGAACTTTAATATATTCCTTTGGCGTTTCGAATGTGGATCTCTCTCTCCCTCTCTCTCTCTCTCTCTGTTCCTATCGCCGGTCTGTGTGCGGGTTCTGTAGCTGGTTCTGCATGTGAAGTGCATAGATTATGCAGTTGGCTTCAGTTTATGATTGGCAAATCCAATATACGTCGTGCACTTTGGCATGCAGCCGGGCGCAGATTGGCAAGCCGAGCACTTGGACCGCAGCGACTGCAATTTCGACAGAGCTGCCACTTTATGGCAGTCGCACGCATATTTTCCATGCTCACACACACACACACAGACTCACAATCAGTTACACTTATACAGTTGCGCAGAAACAAGATGGCGGCGCGCCCGTTTCCGGTTGATGGGCAACGGCGTGATTATCGGCAGGCGGCTGGCATCGGCAGCGGTGCAGGGCAAACCGCAGCCATCGAAAAAAAATCCCACACTTGCCTTGGCTCAAATAATGACTAGTAGTTACCCTGCAAACGTACTTTCATGTGCCTTCTATGGAAAGACAATTGATATGCATGAAACGAGCCTATGAATAGTTCATTAAAGCTTTATGACAATCTCCCAAGTGATTCGCAGCTCGATTTTACTGCCAATAATACATTGATCAAACTTGAGTTTAAGGAATTCTTTCTTTAAAACTAATAGCTTTCACGTTTTCTTTAAGTCTAATGTTTTCTCTTAATAATTATTATAAGGTAATATCATTTATAATTTAAGCTAAACTTAAGGCTATTTACATTGGGTAATAAATAAATAAACAAATGTCAATGTAACAATGATATGCAGGAATATTCAACAAAATCTAAGACTTTTAAAGAAACTCATTTAATTTTTAAGAATAGTTTGAAATATTTTTATAATTTCTCGAAGATTATAATTTCGAAGAAGAGAATAATAATGAGACGTAGAGTAGTATATATTGCAGTATATATATATTCTTGATTTGTGACAACACTCGAATCCATTAAGCCCTATCAGACATCCTGTTACTATAAGGTTTAATTAATTTTGCATAGATTCCTTTTCTTGTTGCTGTCAATACATGTCTCGTTTCGGGGCGGATTGGACCATTATATCTATTAAATAACAAACGGTCAAAAAGACAAGATGAGAAATTCGGCAATTTGACATTTATTCTTCTCTCACATGTCTGCTAACTCATTTCAAATTCTGACATGTCTGCAAAATCACATCAAATCAAACTATTTTTT